GGGCGTCGAGGGTGTCGCGTGTGTCACGGTTGCGGCCGAGACGCTCATGCACCGGGACTGCAGTGCGCTGCCTGCCGCCTTGTGGCACCTGGTGAACTGATGCGTCCTTGTGGGGTCGCTCTGAGGCCATGCATTAGCTGGCGTCGAGCTCTCATCTCTGAGATAGCAAGCTCTCGGCCTGCTGCGCCGCCGCACGCTCGAGCAGCGTGCAAATCTCACGGTAGGCTCAACGATCCTTAGGTGTCGCGGGGCCCGGAAGCCCACAGAGCAAGGCCACTGCAGCAGCGATGTTCTGGCTCGTTTGGGCGAAGTGTGGGAGGGCTTCATCGTCCGCGATTATCCTCCGGTTCACATCACGAGCCATGGCACGCGTGCGCCCACCGTCTCCGTGGCGCTCGATCTCCCGATTGAGCTCCATGTGTTCCTGCTCGAGCTAGAGTCGTGCTTCCTCGAGCTCTAGGTGCCGGGCCTTCAGCTGCTCCACCCGTAGACGGGGTGGGGCTGCTGTCTCCCCCTCGACCTCGTCGTCGAGGTCGTTTATCGGGCTAGCCTCCACTTCGTGGATACTTTCGACGTGTCCCTCGAGGGTACCTATCATGAAACACTCACGAGAGGGGTGATGGCTCCCTCTGCTAGAGTCAGAGCAAGAGGGTGACTCCGATTCTCCCGCGAGGAGGTCATGGAAAGACTTCGCGACACATTCGGTCATCCCTATGAACTCATTGTTCGTGGGGGACGGAGGCGTGCGTTGCGCCACAAGGTGGCCATCGGTCTTTGCACGTTGCGAAGATCAAACAGGAGCGCTGTCGGGGCGCTCCGGATGAGGTATTACGGAGAGAGCGACTCCCCTCCGGCAAGCTACGCCATGACATTAGTGAACGAGAAGGTGAGGTGGCGCAGGTCTTCCCGGGATGGTCAGGGTCCCAGGAAGACACCGAGCTGGTGCTCCAACCTCCCATAGTCGAAGTCGATGAGCTGGTCGCTCCTGGGGGCGTAGGCCTTCGGTGCGTGCAGCTGTAGCTTCTCAAGCGCCTCGGCGATCGCATTGAGGCTGGTGGTGTGGAGAGGTTGGATGGTGGCGGGAGCCATCGCTAATTCTCCCTCTGTCATGATGATGAAGTCTAGGTCCCCGAAGCGCACGTGCGTGCCCGGGACCCAGCTGTCGTTGCGATTAGCCATCTGAGGCCTGGTGTGGATGTCAAGACGCGTAAAACACCCCTACCGGGAGCGCCAACTGTCGGTGTTTCAAGTTGCCACCAACAAGTAAATTTCTAATATTACGCATCTGGCTCGGATGGTGTGCTAAGAGAACACGATGTTTATACTGGTTCGGACAGAATGTCCCTACGTCTAGTTCGTTGCTACTGCTCGTGTTACTAGCACAGAAAGTTCGTAGTAGGGGTTACAAACGGTCGAGAGAGGGACAGGTCCCAAGTCTCTGGGGAGAGGAGCGAACGGGCACCGAGGGCTCAGTCGCTTCTCTACTATGTGCTTGTGTGTTCTAATTGGTTCGAGTCCGAATCGGTGCGATGTGCTGTGATGCGATCGATTCGAGTTGAGTTGAGTCGGATCGTTGGTTCGATGCCCCTAATGGGACGCCCTGCTTTCCCTTTTATAGGCTAAGGGAAAGTAGGGGTTACAGTGGAGGAAAAAAGAGAATCAGAAGGAGAAGAAGTTCTCCACGATTGCCGGGTCCTTGTTTTCTTCTATGCGGGTCTCGCCAACCCTATAGACGTCAACAGGAATAGCTTCACGTCGTGGCCCTATCCGTCACTGGCACCATGTGCAGGCGTCGTCCGCCGGTCATGGCGCTCCATCCCATCCTAGCGGACGTTGAGGTGAACTGACGTGCTCGTTAGTGTTCGTACGGGGGTTAGGCAAAACAGCAATGGTACGTCTAACGCTGTTCCTGATGTGATCCCTCAAGCATGACCTGTCGTGGTCGCGGGTTACATCGAGGCGTGCCAGTCTCCCTCCTGGTGTCAAAACTTTGATCCAGACCCATACGCTTGGACCTGGAGTCGTTGGCGGCGGTATGGGTCTCCGTCGGGCGAGACGGAGCCCCCGGCCTCGGGGTCGGGTGAGGCGGATTTCCTCCCTAGGGCCGGGCGAGGCGGAGTGCAAACACAAGGCTCGAGCGAGGCGGAGCCCAAACCCAAAGGTCGAGCGAGGTGGAGCTAACCCTTAAAGGTCGGGCAAGGCGGAGCCAACCCTCAGGGGTCGGGCGAGGCGGAGCCCGCGACCTTGGTGTCAGGCGAGGCAGCCAACCCTCAGGGGTCGGGCGAGGCGGAGCCCGCGGCCTCGGTGTTGGGCGAGGCGGAGTCCGCCCCTAGAGGTCAGGCGAGGTGGAGTCCGCCCTCAGATGTCGGACGAGGCGGAGTCCGCCCTCAGGGGTCGGGTGAGGCGGAGCCCGCGGCCTCGGTGTCGGACGAGGTGGAGCCAACCCTCAAGGGTCGGGTGAGGCGGAGCCCACGGCCTCGGTGTCGGGCGAGGCGGAACCAACCCCCAGAGGTCGGGCGAGGCGGAGCCCGCGGCCTCGGTGTCGGGCGAGGCGGAGCCCGCGGCCTCGGTGTCGGGCGAGGCGGAGTCTGCACTCAGGGGTCGAGCGAGGTGGAGTTTGCGCACCTGGGGTTGGTTGGAGCTGTAGTCGCGCTTTTGACTGCTCGGACGAATCAATGTTGATGGTTGTTAGCTCCTCCTCTTCGAATACCCTGGTATTGGTCCCCGACAGACAGCTAGTGTTTGTTTCCCTCGAGCTAAAGTTTAGCCCCGTCACATCGAATCTTTCATACCAATTAGGAATATTAAACATAGGCTAATTAGAAAACTAATTACACTGATGGAGGCTAATTTATAAGATGAATCTATTAAATCTAATTAGTCTATGATTTGATAATGTGGTGCTACAGTAAACATTTGCAAATGATGGATTAATTAGACTTAATAGATTTGTCTCGTAAATTATTCTTCATCTGTGTAATTAGTTTTATAATTAACTTATGTTTAGTCCTTCTAATTAGTCTTCGAACATTCGATGTGACGAGGACTATACTTTACAAAGGATTCAAACATTCGAGTCAGTTCATGGAGAGAGCTAACAGAGGAAAGAGAAAAATCGCAACTGGATTAATCCGAAAGAACACTTACAGCAGCAGCGCACTCAATGCCTGCAAGACTCTCCTAACACCAGGACGCGGATGGGTCGATTTTCCTTTTCAATTTTGCCAAAAAAAAATTAAGATTGTGAGTGAATTTTAGAAACTCTTGGCGATGCTCTAAGGATGGGAAATAGTTAAATATCCCTTCAGCCTGTTTAGCTGGGGCTGTACGATCGTGGATTATTACTGCTGGCTGGTTTGTGCGAGAGAAAAATACTGTTCTGACTAAAAATTTACGACCAGCGAACATGCCGCTTGTTCTCTTCATTTCATCCTTTAGCACTTGCATCCAAGATCTCCTCACCCACAGAAGAAAGGTAAGCGCACCACTGCAATAATGCAATTCCATGGCAGACTTGGCACTCAGTGGCTTGAGGTAGGCGGCATCGCCAATCGGCAACAAGCTCCTGGCTAACGAACATGGTTTGTGAGCTCAAAAAAACTAGCTAGAAGCCACCGTCCCGCCACAGTTCGGCCTCGTGATTAGCGGCCGAGAAGAGCCCCCACAGGGAAAGCTGACACAACTTCATATAATATAGAACGAAGACCACGGGTGTCATTCTATTTTTGATCAAAGCATTCAGACATGAGGGAGTGGTACTTTGAAAGCATGAAAGGACACCGGCCAGCAATGGAGCTAAAGACCACTTGTGCAATAATCAGTAAGTGATCCATAAACAATAGCTAGTTTTCAGTAAGCCCCAACTCATCTCAACTTATAAAACTGCAACTGGTCCCTTAAGTAATACGAAAAAAAATAGAATAATGTTCAGAGAAGTGGCCTGAATATTTTGCTAATGCGCCTCCTCCCTTTGCCGGTGTACTACTGGATCAGATCTGCATGCTGACTGGCTGTTTGAGCCTTGCGTGTTGCGTCTAGTTCTCTTGCATTACAGTGCTTCTTCCAGAGTCCAGTCCACCCCTCCGGCGACCTCACGCGCTCGTCGTCCAAGCTTGCTCCGGAGACGATGCTCCCTGCGCCCGCTCATATACCAGTGAAAATAATCTGCTGTTTACTCCATTATGAGAGAAAAATATCTAGGGTGATAAATAAAGTGATCAAACCTAAAAGTGACTTATAAGTTCAAACGAACATGCCCCAGATTTCGATCCCATCCCACGGGAGGAAGGTCTGGAAATGAGAAAAATTGTCTCTCTACTGTTCACACTCGAGAAGCACAGCTAGCTGTGGTCTCGTTGTTCGTTAACCCGGTACTCTTCCTTCCGAAGGAAGGACCACCGCAGAGGAGACTTGGGAGTCAATAAAGGGAACGTTAACAAATCATCATATCACACTCTCCCGGTCCTTTCCCGGAAACTCGCATGAACATGCAGTGCATCGTACCTTCAGCTTTTGGCCTGGTTTAGATACCCTCAAAATTTCAAAGTTTTTTATATGTAAATTATAGACCTCGATAAGATCTCTCTTTATCATATTTTTTTTACCATTTGCATGGAGTATTAAATGTAGGTAAAAAAATATAAAAATTGCATCCGTGTTTAGTTGGAAATCACGAGATGAATCTGCTTTTTAAAGCTTAGTTGATCCACGATTGAATGAATATTCTGAAATGAAAAAATTGTCTCTCTACTGTTCGAAAGCGCAGCTAGCTGTTCTCGTTGTTCGTTAACCAGTGGTTTTTTCCGAAGGAAGGACCAATCTAAACGTTAACAAATCATCATATTTAAACTCGTGGCCCGCTTTTATGTGGCCCTACTACAAGCCTACAAGAACAGCCACCGAGGGCGCCATCTCTGCGATCGCATCACTAGCGCACTGCCCGTGCCCGGCCTCCACTACAACGCACACTGCACGCATCGCACCGACTTTAGCAGCTAGCCATGGACCACCTGCCTCTGACCTCGCCGGCCGCCGCCGCGGCGTCGCTGTCCCCCTCGCAGGACGCTGGGAGGGTGCTCGACGCGTACAAGACGGCGCTGGCCACGGCGGCCTCGGCCGCGGCGTACGCCGTGATGGCGCGGAGCATGGCGCGGGAGCTGCTGCCCGACGAGCTGCGCGCCGCGGCGCGGTGGTGCGCGGCGGCCGCGCGAGCCCGATTCGGCCGCGGCGAGAAGGAGCGCCACACCATCGTCATCCGCCACCAGTTCGACACGGGCTACAGCGAGAACCAACTCTTCGATGCGGCGCGCGCGTACCTGGCCACCCGGATCGACCCGCGCGCCATGCGCCGGCTCTGCCTCGCGCGCTCCCGCACCAAGGAGCCCGACGGCAGCGGCAGGTGGAACACGCTCCTGTGCATGGAGCCCGGGGGCTCCACCGTCGACGTCTTCGACGGCGTCGAGTTCTCCTGGGCCTGCGTCGAGACCGGCGGCGACGACAAGAAGAAGGGCAAGGGCGGCGGCGGCAACACCCGCGAGTCCTTGGAGCTCAGCTTCGACGCCGAGCACACCGAGGCGGCGCTGGAGCGGTACGTTCCCTTCGTCATGTCCACGGCGGAGCAGCTGCAGCTGCGGGACCGCGCGCTTAGGATCTTCATGAACGAGGGGCGCTCGTGGCACGGCATCAACCACCACCACCCGGCCACGTTCGACACGCTCGCCATGGACCCGGCGCTCAAGCAGTCCGTCGTCGACGACCTCGACAGGTTCCTGAAGCGCAGGGACTACTACCGCCGCATCGGCAAGGCGTGGAAGCGCGGGTACCTGCTCTACGGCCCGCCCGGCACCGGCAAGTCCAGCCTCGTCGCCGCCATGGCCAACTACCTCCACTTCAACCTCTACGACCTCGACCTCTCCGAGGTGCGCCTCAACTCGGCGCTGCAGAAGCTGCTCATCCACATGCCCAACAAGTCGATGCTCGTCATCGAGGACATCGACTGTTGCTTCGACGACGCTGCCGCGTCGAGGAAAGCCGTCAAGGCGCCGGAGCCGGTTGACCACCTGGACATGGACCCCGACTACACATCGGATTCCTCGGACGAAAACTGGGCCCAGCCGGGAGTCGCTTCCCTGAAGCCGAAGGGCATCACTCTGTCCGGGCTGCTGAACTTCATCGACGGCCTGTGGTCCACGTGCGGCGAGGAGCGCATCATCGTCTTCACCACCAACTACAAGGACCGCCTCGACCCGGCGCTGCTGCGGCCGGGCCGCATGGACATGCACGTCTACATGGGCTACTGCGGCTGGGAGGCGTTCAAAACTCTGGCTAGAAACTACTTCCTCGTCGACGACCACAAGATGTTCCCGGAGATACATGAACTTCTCTCGGCAGTGGAGGTGACGCCGGCCGAGGTCTCCGAGATGCTGCTGCGGAGCGTGGACGTTGACGTGGCTCTCCGGATTCTTGCAGAGTTCCTCCGGGAGAAGAGACGGAGGACGAGGAAAGAAACAGAGGACAAGAAGAACTCGGCAGAGGACAAGGAGGAGGTAGTAGCAGAGAAACCTGTGTAGCGTACTGTGTTCTTCAGGGTTCTCCATGGATCATCCTGTTCGCTGATGCTGAAGTCTGGCTTATGTTGATGTTTATATTGAAATACCGTGAGAGAGAAATATTGTTTCATGACTAAAATTTAGTTCTGAATAAGCTCAGCGAATATTTCTGGAGAAGGGAATCGAATTAGATCACAAGAATAAATAGCTAGGCCAAAGGAGTATCATCTGGCTTCAGGTGATACTCCGGCAAATTACTCTTGCCCTATCATCCTATCCATTTTTAGTAGTCAGTCAGTAGTGTTCTCCTATTCCTGGTTGCTGCGTGTTTTTGTTGCTCGTCTGCTTATCTGTTTCTGGATCAGAACGGTGTCTGTAACACTAGTCCATGCCTAATTCAGTCCTAAATTGTTCAGTAGTCCCATTTCTTCATCCTTCAATGTATAACGGATCTATTCGCATCCATGGAAGCGATGACAAAAAGAAAGTTAGACCAAAGTTGACCCCGTACACATCATGTTGGAGTACTACATATCAAAATTCAGAGCTGAAAGCAGCACATTCAGAACTGAAACCATCACATTCATCTCTATTTAGAATCTGAATCCAGACAGCTAGCCAAATGGTTCCAGCAAGTCATTTTGTTTCTCAGAAATGTTTCTTCTGAAAATCTGAATCTAAAACGTTTCTCATAGAATCTAGATCCTGCCAAACGGACCAAAAATTGGCAGAGGGAGGCCAAAGATAAGTCCCTGCTGTAGAGATAGTGAATGGTGCGTGGGAGACACAAAATGTTTGCCCCTGAGTTTCTCAAACACTGTCCAACCATATCCGAGTGCTTCATTGGTTGTAGCACTACCAGAAGACGTTCTAAGTTTTTTTTTAAATTACACAGTAATGGATTGGACACTCTAGCATCCAGTTACTAGGGGATTGATCAAATCTAGGGGTAAAGTTTTGAAGCGTCACATAGGTGTCGTATGGGATGTTCGCATACTAATAAAAAAATAAATTACAGAACTCGTCAGTAATTCATGAGACGAATTTATTAAACTTAATTAATCCGTCATTAACATATGTGTTATTGTAGCACCACATTGTCAAATTATGGACTAATTAGACTTAAAAGATTCGTCTCGTAAATTAGTCGTAAACTATGTAATTAGTTATTTTTTTAGTCTATATTTAATACTCCATGTATGTTCTAAATATTCGATGGGATAAGAAATAAACTTTAGAGGAGAAACTAAATAAGGCCTCGATGGGCACCCAGACTTCCCTAGTGGACAAACCAGGCCACTGCTTGAAGTTTGAAAAAGGGAATTGTTTGGAGCTGGGAGTTTGGACTATACAAATCAAAGAACAAGATTTGTTTGGAGAAGTACCAAAATAGCACCCGATAAAAAAAGGCACTAAGGGAATGTGGAAATCCAATACCACAAGACAAGGCATGTTCAGACATATAGCAGGCGTCAAGTTGGAGAGCAAGATCCACGTTTAGTTCCAAAAAATTTTGGTTTTTGTCCATCACATTGAATCTTTGGACACATAGAGCATTAAATGTAAACGAAAAAAAAAATAATTACATAGTTAGGTGAGAAATCGCGAGACGAAACTTTCAAACCTAATTAGTCAATGATTAGACACTAATTGCCAAATACAAACGAAAGTGCTTACAATTACAAAACCCAAAAATTTTCGCAAACTAAACGTGGCCTAACTTCTAAGCAATGGTACAGTTGCTCACCAACACAGCTCTTATTATATAAATCAATCTCATTCGGCCACTTACAGATAAATTGTAGGGCCGAGGCTCCGTCTTTTAACTATTGCCAAAAGACAGTATAGCAGTTTACAGCACAACAGATGGAAAGACCACCTGTTTACATAACAGCATAAACGCCAAAATCTTAGAAACACCGTAAAGACTCCTCAGTCTGTCTCCAGACATGTAACTTAAATTTGAGTATTCTCTCTACTAAAGATTCATTTGTAGAAAGAATTGTCTTTTAGATCTTATTGTTGGAGAAGACCAAAAATAGATATTAAACTATTTGTCTGTAGCGCTATCCAAAAGATAAATATGACTTGTATTTTGGGTCGTGGTCCCTGAGTCAGCAAAAAGATCGACAACGAGAGCTAGAACTACTAAGAATACTATTTTTTCACCATCTAGGCACAGGATCATCACCATTCTGTCACATATTACCTGCCGTTGCTTCTTGATGCGACTGCACTGATTCCCCTTCACACATTGCCTGCTTCTTCTCTGCGAGGAATTCTGCAAGCTCCCGGAGAGCCACGTCGACATCCTCGCTCCTTAGCAACATCTCTGACACCTCAGCCGGTGTCACCTCCACGGCTCCACACCTGAAAGCAGCTCCTTTATCTCCGGGAACCGCGCGTGGTCGTTGACGAGGAAATAGTTCCGGGCCAGCGTCCTGAATGCCTCCCATCCGCAGTAGCCCATGTAGATGTGCATGTCCATCCGGCCCGGCCGCAGCAGCGCCGGGGCCAGGCGGTCCTTGTAGTTGGTGGTGAAGATGATGATGCGCTCCTCGCCGCTGGTCGACCACAGCCCGTCGATGAAGTTGAGCAGCCCGGATAGAGTTATGCCGGGCTGCGCAGCCGATGGGTTTCCCGTGTTTATTAGCAATTTATTATTTTTTCGAAAATCTACAATAATCAGGATTCCTTGATCCTATGCAGCTTACCTGCGAGCGAGTTGGCGATAGAAGGTGACTCTGATCAGATAAGTCATCTTCCTCACTAGATGGCCATTCGGACCGCCCGGCCTAGCCCGGCATGGCCCTCGGAGGTCATCGGGCCGTGCCGTGCCGGCCCACGGGCATCACTAACGGCCCAAGCATGGCCCTAAAAGGCCTCGTGCCGTGCCGTGCCGGCCCGATGGCCCGACTGGCCCAGCGTCGCAGGCAACGCTACATAGGGGATCGTCGCCATCGGCCATCGCGGGCACTCCGGTCCCTCAACGGCGGCTACCACAGCTGAGCAAGAAGCCTGCGGCCTGCAAAACGATAGAAGTTAGAACAAGCTACACAAAGTTAGGGTTAGGGTTAGGAGTGTGGCTTACCTGCTCAACCGGAGCACCGAAGTTGCCGTTGAAGACCGAGATCCACAGATCTACAAGAAGAGGATGGAGAGACTAGGTTTTGGGGGACGGATCTGACGAAGAGAAGGACGGTGGAGGGAGCGAGCCGGGAAGAGACGGTCAAAGGGGAGAGAAGAGGCTATAGATGGCCAAAATGGGACAGGATCCGGCGAGCGGTGACCGGAGATGAAGACGAAGACGGAGGAAGCAGGAAGGATGCGCGGAGTAGACAAGCGAGAGGAGTCGTCGATGCGCCTTCGATGGCCGCAGTCGTAGATCCGGCAAGGAAGCAACCTCAAACGAGCCGAGAGAAGCTCGTCGGCGCCCGGTGATGGTTGGAGGCGAGCGGCAGCACCTCCTCCTCCGCTTCTCGCTCTAAGGCGAAGCGAGAGAGCGGCGGGGCCGTGAGTCTTTGGAAATGAGGATTAGGGTTTGGGATGGAGAGAGATGGGGAGAGGGGCGCGTTTATATTCGCCGGTTGCCAAACGGGCAAGGTCGGGCCGGGCCGGGCCGGCACGCCGTGCCGAAAGTGAGGCCCAGGCACGGCCCAAGGGTCAGGCCCGGCCAGCCCGGGCCCGCCAGCCATCAGGCTGTGCCGTGCCTGGGCCAGGCCAAAACATCGTGTCGTGGGCCGGGCCAACGGGCCTCGGGCCATATGGCTTGGTGCTGAAGCAGCAGTCAATGTCCTCCATGACGAGGATTGACTTGTTGGGCATGCCAGTGAGCAGCCTCTGCAGTGCTGTGTCGTAGCGCACCTCCGAGGGGTCGAGGTCGTAGAGGTTGAAGCGGAGGTAGTTGGCCATGGCGGCGATGAGGCTGGACTTGCCGGTGCCGGGCGGGCCATAGAGCAGGTACCCGCGCTTCCACGCCTTGCCGATGCGGCGGTAGTAGTCCCTTCTCCCCAGGAAGCGGTCGAGGTCAGCGACGACGGACTGCTTGATCGCCGGGTCCATGGCGAGCGTGTCGAACGTGGCCGGATGGTGGTGGTTGATGCCGTGCCACGACGAGCCCTCGTTCATGAAGATCTGGAGCGCGCGGTCCTTCCGCCGCGCCTTCGCAACTGTCGCCGTGATGAAAGGGACGTACCGCTCCAGCGCCATGTCCGTGTGCTCCGCGTCGAAGCTGAGCTCTAGCGACCCGTACCCGTTCCCGTGCTTGCTCTTGCTGCTTTGCCCCGCAACAGAGGCCCACGTGAACACGACGCCCTCGAAGGCGTCGGTCATCGAGTCGCCGTCCTCCATGGAAAGGGTCTTCTTGCTCCCGCCGCGGAGGCAGAGGCGGCGCATGGCGTGCGGGGATCCGGGTGGCGAGGTACTCGCGTACCTCGTCGTAGAGCCCGCCGCCGCCGTCGAGTTGCCCCCCCGAGAACGAGAAGCGCTTGATGACGAGGGTGCGGCGCTCCACGGGTGCGGGCTCGAGGCGGGCACGGATGAGGGACGCGGCCCAGCGCGCTGCCGCACGGAGGTCGTAGGGGAGGAGCTCCCGCGCCATGCCGCGCGCCAGCACGACGTACGTGGTCACCGTGGCTGCCGTGCCCACAGCCGTCTTGTACGCGTCCACCGCCTTCGCGAAGGACAGCAGCGTCACGGCCACCGTAGCCGCCTCCACCGACGCTGGTGGAGGTTTGGACGCCGACGGATCCATCCCGACGAGCGACGAATGAGAATAGGCAAACAAGAGCGTAAGAGTTTCCTACACCTTCTCATAGTGCTTGATTTTTAGAAAGAAGTGAAAAAATTACTCTCCAACAACTCTTAATATAACCTTCTAATATTTTAGAAGTTGAAAAAATCTCCCTCGTCCGCGTAAAACTACGCGGACTCTCGTCGTGCGGAAAGAGGTTCCTTCGCCTCGTCCATCACCAGTTTGTGAGTTCCTTCGCGTCGTCCAACGCTCACCGTCGAGGGTAGACGACGCCGCGGACGTAGCGACGAGCTGGTACGTACTCCATCGATCTTCCTTGTTTGTTGTGGGCTTGCTGCGCCGCCGCTGCCGCCACCGCCCCTAGGTTGGCCTTGCCCGCAATCGGCTGTGTGCTTCTTGCTGCCGTCGGGATTGCCGTGGACTGCTGGCGTCCAGTTGATAGAGCTAGCGTCATGCGTGTCCAGCCCAGTTGCCTCCGAGATTGCCTAACGAAGGACGGGCGCGAGTCGCGACGGCTGCAGGCGCGTGCTAGTAGTACATGTACTGATGTACATCTAGGCATGAGTAGCGACATGCAGATGGATGATCCATCTCCGTGATGCGGTGGTCAGAGTCGAAGGGGCAAGGCGGCCGGCTGTGTGTTTCAGCTTCTTCTCGTTGATTGTACTGAACTGATGGTTCCTGCATGCTACTGTGATCCTAGTAGATGGCCGGCAACTATTGCTTGCTGTTGCCGATGGCTAGCTTGTTCCTGCTACTAGCCGATGCACACGCATGACTGCTGGTGGTGCCGGTCTACTAGGAGGTGGTCACGGCCGGCTGGGACTGCAGGACTAGGGCACAAGCCGCACGACGAAGGAAGGAGGAGCCGCGGTGGCGTCGAAGAAAAAAAATCCAAGTGGCACCAAATTTTAATTTTTTAGAGTGGAATATTGGGTACTATTGAGATTGACTTCTTTTTTTCTCCCAATATCTTTTTAGGAGTCGGAATACATGGTGTTTTAGGGAAGAAAATTTAGAAAACTCTTGGAGATGCTCTAATTAGATTGTGATTGGCGAGGTTTGCGGGTTTAAGATACCGGCGGCGCTCGGTTTTTTTCGCTTTTTCGTTCAAAACTCGCAACAAACTACAAGACTGAACCCTTCTTCTCTAAGCGAGGTCCGTCCCAAAATAAATATCTTATTTCTCAAACCAATGGACTCGTTAATGGAAATGAAGACCATGTTACATATCTATTTATTTTTTACTTTTTCTATAAAACTCAAAAGTTATAATTTATTTTATGATGATAATGACGTTCATAATATAAATTAATATTGGCAACAAATATAATATTATCCTAATAATTTTGTGTCAAATTAAAACATAACCTCAATAGGGTTTTTTCCTTGATAGATAGAGTTATCTTTTTTTTTTTCTCGAATACGCAAAAGATTTGCGTATCATTGTAATTAAGAAAAAGAGTTTAACCATACAAACTACGCCGATGAAGGTTTGGACGAATTGGAGTAGGGCAGTAGGCAAACGATTAGATCGTGCTAGGCGAGGTGTGCGGCTTTAACGTAGGGGCGGCGCCTCGAGTCAGTTTTTTCGCCTTTTTTCTTCAAAAACAACAAACTACCGAAGGCCTTCTCTACCCTCCGTCACAAAATAAATATCTTATTTCTCAAGGATATTTTTTTATATTTTACTAGATGTATAGAAAATATCATCAATATTTTAATCTCATAATATGTGTATTATGAAATATATTCCACTATAAATCTAATGATAGTTATTGCACGTAAATTATTATTAGTAATTTTTAATATTTGGTCAAAATTTAAAAATAATTTCTCAATCGAGATATGCAATTATTTTTAGATGGTGAAAATAGACATGGTAAAATAATATTTTTAGAGTTGATTATTTCAGATTTATACGGTCTCTAGTGATGGTCGTTTAATTTGGAATTGGTAGTGGCAATGCTACCGCTTGTGGAATTGGGATTTTTAAAGACACTGTCTTAGAACGCCAACTTCTTGTGGTACTCCCAAATAACTGTCAGTCAATTATTTAATTAGATCGGATAATTAAAATTATCTATTACTTCTTCGAAGGTAGTAATACGTAAAATATATTTATTTAATTTTAAATTTTGTAAAATATGATAAATAAGGAAAGTTTTAGGCATAAAGATCTTTCTTTAGCTCTAATTGATGCATGCATGATCTATTAGATTGGTAAACATTTTTATTTTTACAAACTTTGGATATGACATAATTTAATTAACATCAACTATGTAACGTCTGTACATGCCCAACATACGTACTTGTACTTGTCCATCGTATATGAAATTTTGCGTGCCCACTTTACACGCGCAATGTACGTGATAAAAACTTGGAACGTGATTGCTGACATATTTGATCTAAGCCTGGGTTCAGACTTTGCCTCTATAACCAAATGGTGGATTCTAAACTTTTATAAAGCTAAACCCTACTAACTTATTTCTCTAGCATCTCCAGACACGTTATCCAGTTCCACGCATCCACCTTCACCCGTCCCTCCTCCATCGGTGGCTTAGGGCGTGTTTAGATGCAATTTTTTTGGGTTTTGGCTACTGTAGCACTTTCGTTTGTATTTGGCAATTAGTGTCTAATTATGGACTAATTAGGTTCGAAAGTTTCGTCTTGACGATTTCTCACCCAACTGTGCAATTAGTTTTTTTTCATCTATATTTAGTATTCCATACATGTGTCGCAAGATTCGATGTGATAGATACTATGCAAAAAAAAAAAAATTGGAACTAGACATGCCCTTAGATCGAGCAATTTAACTTCCTTCGTGACTTTCTGGAACACGAAACGAACAGACAAAGTCCTATCCGATCAATGCTGCACGCGCGCTGTTTGGTCATCTCTAGCCCCTGCCTCTTCCCCTGCCATCACCTGCTCACCTCCCAACTGAACTGATCATGTATATAAACCCAAGGAGGCAAGTACGAACCCTTGATCCAAACTGACAACTCTTCCAGCCTGTTCGTTTGACACAAAATGTTATAGTCCAAGGGCTTGTTTAGTTCCTGAATTTGGGAGTGGTCAAATAATTAATGTGTTACTGTAGCGTTTCGTTTGTATTTGTGAATTATTGTTCAAACATGGATTAATTAGGCTCAAAAGATTCGACTCGTAATTTATAATCAAACTATATAATTAATTAGTTTTTTACATTTAATACTCCATTTAGTACTTTGATGTGATGGAGAGTATGTAAACTTACAATCTAAATTTGATGTGAACCCAAGAGAATCTTCTTTTTATCCAAACTGCATTTTTTAGAAGTTTGGTGCAAACTAAACATGGCCCAAGCATCCATGGAGCCTAGACTGTCTGCTACTGATTTTAAGTCAGCGCTTCTCCACTAGCTGTTGGTCAGCAAGGTCTATGGATCATCAGCAGGTAGTAGTACTTTCTCATACCCAATCTGTTCTTATTACATACTCAGATATTTTTTTATGTACATTTACTTTTAATATTCTTTTACGAGGTTAGCGATCCACAGGTATAGGGAGCTTGTTCTGCTGGATTTTAAGTCAGCGCTTCTCCACTAGCTGTTTTTTTTTCTCTATGGATCATCAGCAGGTTAGTATTTCTCTACCCAATCTGTTCTTATTTTTCTTTCACAACAATCACTTTTAATAATATTTTTTACGAGGTTAGCGATCCACAGGTATATGCCTTTTATCAAGTTAGCGATCCACAGTAGTACTTTCTCCTCCGCAGGTTAGCCATCCGTGTTTTCTTTTATGAAGTTAATTAAAGATCAAAGATTAGCATGTTGCCTTTTCTTTAGTTCATTCGCGTTGGACTACTGACGCAACTCTTTTTGAAGTGATCCCACCTTATTTGAATAAGTCATGAGAAACGCTCACTCGTCAAAGTGGCTTGAAGCCATATAAGATGAAATAAAATCAATGAAAACCAATGGTGTTGTGACTTAGAAACAATTTCTAAAAGAGGCAAGACAGTAGGCTGTAAATGGATCTACAAAACCAAACATGACTTCAAAGGAAATATAGAAAGATTCAAAGCGTGACTTGTGGCGAAAGGCTTCACTTAAAGAGAAGGTATAGATTATAATGAGACATTTTCTCTAGTCTCGTGTAAGAATTCTTTTAGAATCATAATTGTGCTTGTAATACATTACAATTTAGAATTACATCAGATAGATGTAAATACGGCGTTCCTAAACGGGGATCTAGAGGAAAATATTTACATGGCACAACCAAAAAAATTTGTTGTGGAAGAAAAAGAACGTATGGGATGTTGCCTGATGAAATCCATTTATGGATTAAAACAAGCTTCAAGACAGTGGATATTTGAAGTTGATAGTACAATAAGAAAGTTTGGTTTTCAATAAAACATAGAGGACAATTGCGTTTATGCAAAGTTCAAGAATAGGAAATACATTTTCCTAGTCTTATATGTGGATGTCATCTTGCTCGCTAGCAGTGATGTTAATCTACTACTAGAAACAAAGAAGTTCTTGTCCTCAAAGTTTGATATGAAGGATCTCGGTGAAGCTTCGTTCGTCCTAGGAATAGAGATTCACCGAAATAGAGAAAATGAGGTTTTAGGATTATCACAAAAGACATACTTAGAAAAAGTTCTAAAGAAATACAGTTTACAAAATTGTAAGTCTTCACCTGCTCCCATAATCAAGGGCGATAGATATGGAGAATTTCAATGTCCCAGAAACCAATATGAGATCGATCAAATGAAAGCGGTTTTCATATAGTTCAGCTGTCGAAAGTTTACAGTATGCTCAAGTGTGTACTCGCCCTGACTTAGCATTTGTTACCGGGTTACTTGACAGATATCAGAGTAATTTAGGAATAGAACACTGAAAATTAGTAAAGAAAGATTTACGTTACCTGCAAGGTACGAAGGGTCTCATGCTAACATACGGAAGATCTGATTCTCTGCACATAGAGGGGTATACATATTCTGATTATGCGGGAGATGACAGAAAGTCCACGTCAGGATACATATTCACTCTCGCAGGAGAAGCTATATCGTGGAAAAGCTCAAAGCAAACCGTCACTACATCATCCATAATGTATGCCGAGTTTGTAGCATGTTATGAGGCCACAGGGCAAGTGAATTGGCTGAAGAAATTCATGCCCGGGTTGAAAGTGGTAGACGACATATATAAGCCACTCAAGTTATACTATGATAATAATCCAGTAGTATGTTATGCTCACAACAATAATTCAAGTGGTACTGCCAAACACATTGACATAAAGTATTATGTTGTGAAAGATAAAGTCCGGGATCATATAATTAGTCTTGAGCATATAAGAACAGAAAATATGTTCATGAATCCGCTTATAAAAGGCTTACTACCCAGCGTATTCAGAGAACACTTAGCCGACATGGGTTTAAGGAAAAGCCTATGATTCCTTGGACAATGAGGGCCTAGTTGAGAATCCATTTTAAAACAGAGAGGTGCATTGTAGCTATTTAATCTAATGGCAACAGACCATGACAATGAGGCACGCTCTATGCACTGATCTATGATGAAATGGGAACAAGATAAAGTAAGTAAGTTAAGTTTAAATCATAAGGTGAGATCAAGGGGGAGAATGTTAGATTGATTTCCACCAATTGGCCCAACGGCTAATTGGGCCTTTGGATCCACGCGCCCTAATCGATGGCGCCCAACCGCTCCATGGTTGGTGGGCCCCCGTTGCATAGCGTCATAAAAAGGGAGGTGGGGGTCGGGGCACGAGGCACGAGGTTCACCTGAGCCGCCAGACACCGCACCGACATCCTAACCCTAGCCGATCTAGATAGGGCGCCGCCCATGACGGAAGCTCACCATCGCCAACGCCGCCCTCTGCCCGCCGCCACCGCCATCAAGAATCAAGCTTCACCGTCACCGGCTTCACCGCGCCACCGACAAGCAACCCCATGGCCAGCTCGTCTTCTACGAAGGCGGCCGTTGGTTTGCACCTCCGCACCCTCTCTCTCTCCCTCTATCTCTAAATCTCGTACTAGTTCATGTTCTAGGACTTGTTATTTATCTCAAATGTCAGTATACAAGCTAGATCTATGGCTAGGGGATTCTGTCAAGTCTATCAAACACAACACAACCCTTCGTCCCCTCCCACACCGGATTGACCGACCGACCAATGTGTGGAGCTAAAAAACAAGCGGGTACACGGCCGGGTGCGTTCGTGCGCCTCGCACGGGAAGGAACAACGATAGCGATGCACAATGCTGAGTGCATGCAAGCGCCGATGATGCTTTTGCACGAGGGACGAAAGGTGACTATACATTGTTCCCAACATCGAAAGCGACGAAGGCATCGTCTGCCACCTCCTTCCCTAATTCGCCCTATCATGCGTCTTTGTGCCTTTTTGCTTGTCTGTGATAATCGGGGGATATGGGATAGAAACCAGTGAAAATATAAAAACTAATTTAATAAATGCATTCCTGTAACTCCATTATCTAAAAAAACTCGATTTTTTTCTAAAAAAAGTGGGGGAAATGATTTGTATTTTTTTGTATTCGTATATCATTTGATCCAAACTTTATGTTGATACATTTATTGAATACACCTAACTATGGCCCTATTCGCTTTGCTGAAAAGCCATGGCTGAAAGTACTGTTCACTGATTTGTTGTGAGAGAAAAACACTGTTTGTTCGCTAAAATAGTACGGTTCATAAGACCAAGCGAACATGGCCTATGTCCGTCGAGGTCCGCAACTGATTATCGTGTGTTCTCTGGTGTAGGCAGTACAATTCATAACTCCAACGGCGAAGCAAATACCCTCTATTTCAAATTGTAAGCTGTGCAAAAGCGGCTGGAACTGAGAGAGTAAAGGTACTAAGTGTTTAGTAGAAATAGAAAAAAGAATCTTTCAAAAGTTTCAATCAATAGACATATATATTCTAAGTATTTATTGCAGTACAATTTTTAGCTACGATTTAATGATTTTGCTCTGCGTGAATGAATGAATGGTTAAAATGTTTCAAACCGAAAGAAAAACGAGACATCATCTGAAAAAGTTTGAAAAGAAATTGATGTGCCTCGGTGCCACTGCCTAGGCTCATGTAACCCTGGCCCAACAGTGAAGCGTGCATTTCGAAATCCCACTGCAAATAGATTGAGGCCCATGTAAGCCTGGCCCAACAGAGGAGCGTGCGTTTCGAAACGACCGTTCGACAACCAAAAGTCCAAAACCACGAATCCCGCTCAAACGCAATCCCCAACCATTCGAACGTCACTGACCCTCCCCCTCGAATCGCCCCTCCCCTCAAACCTTCCCGAATCCATGGAGGCCGGGCCCCAAACCTTCTAGAGCGTCCCTCCCCGTCCGCCATGAGCCGCCGCGAGCCCGCCGCCTCCCCCTTCCGCGACCTCTCCAACCTCCGCACCCCGAGACCCAACCCCAATGCCGTACCCCCCTCGCCGCAGTTCTTCACCGCCTCCAAAGCCCCCCTCCAGGCTCCCACTCCGACCCCACTCCGCCGCCGGAGGCCTGGCAACGGCGCCCCGACCCCGACGCCCCTCGGCCGCCGCCTCCGCGCGCTCGAGGTCGACCAGTCGCGCTCCGCCCGCCGCGCCGAGTCCGGCCGCGAGCGCGCCCTCCGTGCCTTCGCCGCCTCCGCCTCGTCATGGCTGTCGCTCCTCCTACGCAACCCCTCCGCCTGCAGCTGCTCCCCGGCGGTCACCGATTCCGCCGCGGCCGCGCAGCCCTGCGCTGCGGGGAAGCGCGGCGCGCTCGATGGAGAGAGGGCACGTGGGGGGCGCAGTCCGAAGAGGCGCCGCGGTGCTGGTGATCGCGGCGGGGAGAGGAGGAAGGAGATGACGCCGGCGATGGTGGCCGCGTTAAGGGAATCTCTGAGGGAGGCGTGCAGCCTGGAGGATGTCACGGAGAGGTTGGAGAACTACATGAGTAAGGGCGCGTGTGAGGAGGTGCTATTCATGATGTTTCAAATTTGTAAGGTGAGAAAATTTCGAGGGTTCCAACTCTACGGCTTTGGCATTTAAGATTCTTGTTATTGTGGCCTACGTGCTAATTTTAGATTGTTACGTTAGAAATTTGAAACAATGAATTATCCAATTTCGACCTGTCTTCAGACTGAGACCAAATGCTAAACTGCTATGTGTTGTCCGGTTTCTTTTTGGATTGTATTTGAAGAGCTGGACATGGTAACATTTAAATTACGAGTGTAGATGTGATAAGGTATATTCTCGTCTTTGAAAATAACTTATGTAAGATGTGAAAATTGGATATGGGTATATGACACATATATGGTGACTTATTATGCATCACTTTGTTATCTGTATAAGAGTGCCTGCAGTATTTTCCACAAAAAGATATGCTAAAAATCAGAGACTGCAACGATTATAGTATCTTAAACTCTCATTCCATCTGTCCCGAACTATAGTCGTTTTGGCTTTTGTACATAGCTTTTGCTTACCTTATGTCTAGATATATAATAAAAACTATATATTTAGAAATGTCAAAACAATATATAATTTGGAATAGAGGGAGTACTTCTCATGCACTTTCTTATTTTCTAAACTCCACCTAAGTGCTTATAAATGGTAAAAAGTTTTCAGCCTATATTACACAGTAGAATCATTATCCTCTAACCGGCACAGTATTTCCCCCACATTTTCAGAACGTTGACGAAGGCAGATTGAAGATGAAAGCACAGTGCCCCCTTGTTACTGACCTTAGGCTCAAAGAGAAAGCAACTAGGGTTTTCATGTCCTACAACCCATATTGGCTCAGGATTGGCTTGCATATTATTCTTGGTGGTGATTCCTTGCTGCAGTCTGGACAAGGAAAATGGGACAAGGAGGTTCATTTTCTAAAACTAATTCTGGAGAAGCATATGTTTTCTCAAATGATGACTGCAAAATCATCTGGTCACAAGAAGGTGGTAGAAGAGCACCATGTACAAGGTTACAGTGAAGTGCTGGGCAATATTATATTGAAAAGAATTTTTCTGCTTGTTGTTGCACTAGACAGAGCGAAAATAGAAAGTGCTCTACCTCTCGAAGCTGGAATCGATGGCCTTGATGGTGGATCCCCTCTTTTATTTTCTCACCAAGGTCAAATAAAATCTAGTCGTCAAATCATTCAGGGTAATTTAGCTGAATCCATTGCTTTTTATTATTGTTTTTTTTGCGCCATGCAAGTGTTATATCGAGTTGCCATTCTATTATTTGACTGATTACTTAATTCTAGAGTCTTTGAGGGAGACCATGCATGGAGAAGGTGACATTCTGATACACCTCACAACTGTGGGATATAAGCTAAATTATCAACAGGTATCCGGATTTGCTGTATTGCTGTACCAAACAGTTTGTTTTTGTGTTTTTGGTTGTATAAGTTTCTTTCAGGAATTGTATAGTTTAAATTTTGTTTGAATATTGTCAGATTATACTAATTTTCTTTTTCTTGCCAGCCTGCTCTGTCAGAATATGATTTCACCATGAGGAGTTTATTTGAAGATCTCCAAGATGGCATAATTCTTTGTAGAGTTGTTCAGTTGCTCCTCGCAGATGCATCAATCATTTCGGTAAGAATTTCCTTTTGCTACACTAATCAGCTAGATCATATTAGCATTTGATTTACGGTGCCAAACGCTTCATTTCAGAAAGTAATTGCTCCCTCAGATACAAACAAGAAGAGGCTAAGTAACTGCAGCACTGCTATACAATATATCAAACAAGCTCGGGTTCCATTATCTGATTCTGATGGAGTCACAATTTCGGCGGAAGACATCGCTGCTGGGGATAAGGAGCTTATTCTTTCACTGCTGTGGAATATGTTCATCCATATGCAGGTCAAATGTTCAATATAACGCTATTGAATTTTTATTGCTAAGTATACCTTTTTTTTCCCACAAAGATAGAGTTCTAGATTGCTCACTGTAGGAGTTAACTTAATCTTCAGTTTCACATCATTCTCATTAGGTTTCGTTAATTGCTTTTACTTAGTGGTTAACTGGTTATGTGTATTATTTAATCTTATCATCCTCTATTCTCACCCAAAACTGTTAAATTATATTGTAAATATTCATGTAATGGTTTTATAGGTTACTGTGCAATTTGTAAATTAAACTTCTCTGAATGCTTTTTTGTCAAGGCAATGTTTTCATCTAACTCATTCAGATTCCAGAATAATTGATATGTCTCATTAACTCTTGTTACCTTTTGCTCCTGTGCAGCTACCCTTGTTAGCAAGCACAGCCTCACTAGCTCGTGAATTAACCAGGCTAAATGTACATGTAATGGTGAGTGATCCGTTCATCTATCTTAATAAGCAGTTAAAATATGTGGATAGAATGGGACAACATACCATGCAGTGCGTATTTTATTCCCTCACAGTAGACAAAAGTTCCTTGATGAAGCTACCGTATATGTTTGCTTCTGTGCTTATCATTTTGATCTGAGACTTTTGTTCGTTACTTTTAAGGAGGGGTTCTATTTCTTTTTTGAGAACGTGCTGAGGACATGTATTAAGGAGTTTCTTTTATTTCAGGAACAACAAATGTCTGAGAACAAGCCACACATGGGTTTTCTTTACAATTGGGTTCAGGTAAAAGGATTCCTTTGTTTCTTTTATCTGTTGCTCACATAGTTGTGTGCTAAAAAGTAAATGAGTCCATGGGTTACATCATTTCGCCAAAACTAAGTCGAGAATTTCTAAAGTTGTAATAATAGCTTTCCTCAGCCTGATTCATGAACCAAGTATCAAGACTTTTTTTTTCTCAAATGCACAGGAGTGCTGTGTATCATTGCATTAAGAAGTATCAAGACTGTTAAAAAATGCTTATTAAGTGTTCTTTTGTTTGTAAAAAGGCTGCTGTCATTGCCATTTCATTGTATCCTTTCTGTTGAAAATGCTCATGCCTGGGTTTCCGTGCACCACATTGTATACGCTATTTCCTGATGTAACCACTGCCTCAATATGTTGCAAGCTCAAAGACAACACAGTAACATCATTGATCTTTTTGTTAATCTTAAATGTTTTGGTCATTTTGATCTAGTATCCTTTTAAGCATACTATTTTTGAACTTGTATTGTGCTAACCGTACAACCCTGCCTTTATTGTCTAATTGCTACCTATGTTGTTGTTTTGTTCTTCTGCAGGCAATATGCTCAAAGTATGGCATGACTGTTGAAAGCTCATCTCAGTTTGACAGAAGAGCACTGAACTGCCTCATCAACTATTATTTGAACATTGATATGTTACCCCCCAAGGTTCTCCTGAACTGTCATCATTTTTTGTGTTTTGTTTGCAGTGTAATTACACCTTTATCTTTATGTGCCACTTTGATATCGATGTGCTCAACATTTCTTGTTGATTATTGTTTTTAGGAAACACTAACTGGATGCCGAAAGGAATTGTTCACCTGTCACCAACTTGATACTATAACTGATATCACTAGCTGTCCATCCAGCAAGATGGGGAAAGCACTCTCTGATGTTCTTCATGAGGTGGTAAGTGGTTTACTTTTTTTTGTTTGCACAATCAGTAGTTTCTTTCTCAAACCTTTTTCTGCAATATGCAGGATATTCCAGCAAGTGACATCCTAGCTGATGGTGTATTATTTGATGAGAAGAGTACCATTCTTTTGCTAGCGTTCCTATCTTCACATCTGACTAATGATGAAAGATTGGTAATATTTGCTGTCACTTTCAAATTTTCCCTCCGTGTGTTAAAGTCCTGTTCAGGATGCATAAAGCATCTTCTTTAATTCATATAGGGTCATCTAAAGAATTTGATCAACATGAGGTTGGACTACAAGTGTGTGGAGACTAAGATTTCAGCAAGACGTACATCTCGAGGAAAGATTGATACGAAGTATCATGCCTCTCAGACAGATAAAAAAGATGGTGCATGCACCAACCAGGGTTTGTTCTTTATCTATTCTTTAGTTTGTAAGTTTCTGCTGCTGAAATGAAATTTGGTAATATTATTGTGAAATGTTATTCTCCATAACCATAACTGTACATAATATTATTATATGAATTCCACCGTATCAATTATGATGGTAGTATAATAGTTTTCCGCAACCTAGTGAAATTTGTCTTAATCTTCTTTCTGCAGTGGAGCACTGTGAGGATGTGGATACATTGAGAGCTTCTGTTGCTCCTCATATTCTTTGTTTTGATGGCATGGATAGTCTACACTCAACAACTCCACTGCAGCTTAGCGGCAACCAAAGCAACTCTATAACTTCTACCACTCAGCTATGGAAAAGTGGGCATGAGTCTATACCTCCTCCCAATTCTCCATTGGATATGTTTGAGAGTAATTGGCGATCGTGTGTGGTTGAGACGTCCAATGCAGTTTCCGTCAGTAAGCTTGTGAGTGTGGATGACATGGAGTGCAGCAGTAATATTTCTTCTCAGGAATTCTTAAAGCCTGTATCTACCTGTATTTATTTCCCTGTTTGCAAGGAACTAGTTGCTGCTCAAAGGATACAAAATGCATACCGAAGATTTTTGAACAATAGAAACAGGATAACGGCTGCAATTAAAATCCAGAGCCAGTGGCGATGCTATTCAGTACGCAAGTGCTTCACAAAGCAAGTTCAAGCTATTGTAGGAATCCAAACATCAATAAGAGTATTCTTGTGCCTCCAAGCTTTGCAACGCCACCGACTTGCTGCGGTACTGATTCAGCGAGTTGTCAGAGGATGGTTGGCTAGAAAGAAACTGTTAGGTTAGTATGTACATCATAGATTGTCCTTGATATATTTTTGTTGCATATTGATCGTTGTTATGGCAGTTGTGTTACGGATGTAGAGCCGCTAAGACGTGATTCGTATTGCATTATCTAAGTATTACTGACCGATGCTACTTATACAGGTTCTTCTTCACTGCGAACCTACACAAGACTTTGTGTAATTGACCAAAGTCAAAAGAGAAAATGTTATCAAAGCCTTGAGTTGAACATTGTGCTAGATTCTGTCATAAGGCTACAAAGGTACTGGAGGAAGTTCCTGCTGCATCAGTCTGTCAAAACATCTGTGATCTCAATCCAGTCTTTTGTCCGTGGCTGTTTGGCACGAAAACAACTAAATCAAACTTTCTGCTGCATCAACATCATTCAAGTATGTATGATATTTTTTTTATGCTTGCAGACTGGGTAGTGCCATAATTTAAGTGTCAAAAGAGTTACTTTAATCTGGTCCATTTATTTGCAGAGATGGTGGCGAAAGGTTCTCCAATCGAGGAAGCGAGCTGTGATTGTTATCCAGACTCATTTCCGTGGTTGGATTGCACGACAAGATGCTATCAGGACTAGAAACTCTATTAGTAACATACAGGTACACAAAGAGGCGATGACTGATCTCTGTAAATTTCTTTTTTTATTAATTGATATGCACAGATTACTAAATGATTTCATACTTGACAAATTTGTTTGCAGATATGGTGGAGAAAGGTTTTGTTCAATAAATTGAGGAAGCAAGCTGTTTTTGTTATCCAGGCTCATTTCCGTGGTTGGATAGCACGACAAATTGCTTCTAGAACTAGAAAAAGTATTACTACAATACAGGTACTGTATGCGTGTTTTTGTTAGTTGAATATATGGAAATCAAATTCATGGATCTATTTAGATACCAAATGTATGAAACATGATTTCATTACGCAAAAATCCTTCTATTCATAGAAAAACGATTGTAATTAAGTTCACTTTTCTCATTGACATTTATCTAACTGATTGTTGCAGTCCTATCTCAAAGCCTACCTTGTGAGGAAGGCCTCGAAGCAAGAAGTTGCACAGATAAGATCTAGACTGCAGAAGTCTTCTTCACAAGTTGATGATAGTATGCGCCTGATCAACAGACTGGTGTCTGCACTGTCACAACTCCATCACTGTCGGAGCATACACAGCATTCGTCAAACTTGTGTAACATTGAGTAAATACAACCCTATGCTTCCTTTCTAATTTTTTCTCCAACCTAGATTTATCATGGGGCATAACCGCATAAGATTGTGATATCATACTCCCAGCTGTATCAGTTTAGCCATCAACTTGCCAGTCTAAGCACTTATGTTCAAGAGCTAAGAGGTTATATGTTCTCTTTCTCCTACAGGTACTGCTACAGAGTATTCCAAGAAATGCTGCGAGACACTAGTCACTGCTGGTGCTGTAGATATATTGCTGAAGCAAATCCATTTGCTGAACCGTGGGATTGCTGACCAGGAAGTCTTGAAGCAAGTGTTCCTTACTCTCAGGAACATTGCTCGCTGTGCAAATCTTAGACAGGTGTTAGCCAGCACTCCAGAATCTGCTGAAATCATCTTCCAGGAATTACTGAGGTATCTATATGTCATATGCATTATGCAATGCTCAAGTTCACATGCTGTATTTACGTTGCCTGGTTAGTTTCTTGCTGCACATTCGAGTCATTATGATATGTTTGATGTTCCCTCAACTGAGACTTAGCTGTAGTTAGTGCCTCCCTCTAAAGCTCTGTTCTTCATTTTGATCTTGAGCATATACTAGATTAAGAATGGAGACGGCTTTGAGTTTGTTGGTTTGTGAGCATTATATACTTGTCTGTATTATAAGCTGTGTTTTTGGGCATGCCATTCTTATATGGTGGGATGGATGTGCTTAGGAACAAAGCAGATGTGTTCTTCATCGCGTCTGATATTCTAAAAAGCCTATGTGAATCCAAGGAAGGCCATGAAACTGTCCAAGCGCTGAGTCACCACATCAAAAGGCTGCGCAATCTGGTGCAAGACCTGGAAAACAAGGTGGAGCTCGACAAGAGGTAATGCAATACATCAGTTCGTAACGTTCCATTGATTCTAGTTTTTTTTTTTTTTTACCGAATCATAATTGCCCTTGCCGATGTCTGGTCCGCTGAACGGGCTCCCTCTTGTTTCTGCAAGGAATGGACGCACCGGAGCCGCGAAGGCGAGCAATCTGCGGCGGCTGCGGGAGGCCGCTACTCTCTATCATCTCGTCACTAGTCACTAGTGATACTAAACGTGTTCGGCAGTATAGCTAGCTGAAAGGCTAATCAGATGTTTTGTTGTACAACTATTTAGTCGTAGAAGGTTTTCGTGTAACTGGAGGTGACTACGGTGCAACTGTCAGGATCTTCTAAGTTGCGTTGCTGGTTTTGGTTTGTGATTGTATTGTCACAGGTGTGAGAATCATCGGCTTGATGTATTGGGTTATTAAGACTTAAAGAGTGAAGTCCATTTGTCTTTGACTTAACCCTAAACGTCCTCAGATGTCTTGGATTAACCGCCTTCTACATGTTCTAACAAATCATCAGCTTTTGACGTGTTTGTGTTTCAGGAACCTCTCAATCCTAGTATTTGTGACTTTCACATACCAAACAAAAAACCCCTGAAGACGAGAGATGTAGCAGGTGTGAGAACCAATTGTTTATTCATGTGCTGCGTCTTTCTGATTGCCATTTCATGGCTGCTTTAGACGACAGATGATTATTGATTAGGGGTAGAAATGGATTTTTTTAATAGATTTTTCCGTATATTTTTTTAGAATAACATAATATAGATCTGAAATTGCAGAGGGCATCGATTGTAGCCAGGTACCAGCGGTGAGTGTTGAATCATGCAGTTTTAATATAACAATAAAAGCACCAGCATCGATTGTAGCCAGGTACCACCCGTTCGCTGGTATAAAACTTGACTTAAACAGACTGGTTGTTGTAAGAGAGAAATGTGTAGCGGCTGAAATAGCTGGTTGTTGTGAGGAGGAGGAGCCGGCTGGTCAGCTGGACCAGACCAGCGAACATGTCGAATAGACTCGGCATAGTGCTAGTTTATTGAATTAGAAATAGAAACGAATCTAGCAATGTTTGTACCGCTATAAAAGGGCAAGTCCGTCCAACAATTCTTGCCCTGTTAGCATTACACTTAGAGCTAATACCAATACATACAAAACAGCACAACGAACTATTGTACATGTACACCCGCTAGCTACGCCTAAGTCATAACTTACAGGTCACAGCCCATCCTGCCTATGAAGCTGCCACTGAAGTCACAACGATTAGAAGAATCAAACTCTAGATGCCCATGAGTCAGTCTGCCATTGGCGTTCATCCGCTGGATTCCAGATTGATCGGCTGCATTAGGTGAGCGGCTGACCTTCGCCTTCGCTTCCCATCTGGAGTCAGCCTGATCGCTGTCTTGACTGGAATCTTGCCATTTTTATGCAACGGCTTCTTGGAGCACTCATGCTGTGCCAGGGAGGACTCACCACCTTTGCCTGCATTTTGCAGTGGGGACTTGACTCTCTTCCGAGCAAAGCGTGCCTCCATTTCTGGCCTCCGGTTGGGACCAATGAGCCTTACATGGAATGGATCCTCTGCCGTGTAACACACCAACTCATTCATGGCTTGTCCTTTGTCCAGATCAACACTTCTGCCGTTCACCTGTAACATTCACGTGGCTAAAAAATGCTTGGGGTTGCACCAGATGACCAGATTATGAAACTGGGAGAAAAGGGAAGTTTACCAGCTGGAGAAGGGCAGAGAATGTTCTGGCAACCTCATACTTTGGTCTGCCACTAACAATCTCACTAAAAGATGCAGTTCCTGTATTGTCAGTTCTTGATGAAAGTGTGTCAAGGATTTGCTCCCCATATGAACCGATATCAAAAGGTGGGTTTTTATCCTGACAAGACGTGGATGTAGGAATGAGCGCTAAACAAGTTCATAGATGCAAAATTGTAAGCAGTTCAAGCCAGCAACAAACCTGCTCTTCCAATGCCTCCTCAATTCTTTCTTTCCATGTTGAAACTCGAGCATCCATCTCACTCTGCTTTTCAACCTCAGCGATGCTGGCAAGGAGAGCATTCTGTATGAAGAATTATCTGTCAGTTTTGGAAGTTGAAGAGAATTGCAATTTGGATTCTAGAAATCAGCAGGCAAAATGAAGTTTCCAATCATATAAAAGCTTTGAAGCATCACCTCCAGGTGTGTTTTGGGGATTTTATGTGTGTGGGTGGATGTGTAATATAGCTAAGTTAGTAGAGCTTCGCTTTAACATCATGTCAGCTATAAAGCAGTTCAGTTGCTGCACATTCAGACTTGTGCTGGTGCTGTGTGTGCTCTGTTCTCAGTGTTCTTCTACCCCTAGCTGTGAGTTGTGCGAGTGAGTGAGCTGATTGCTCACCTCTGCAGGTGGCTGGATTACCAACAATTAAGACTTTAGGGTTTTTTTCACAAACACGCCTGAACATGTATATATTTCATTAAGCGGGATAGAAAGTGCGATCACACACATGTCCAAGCCAGAAAAGGGCTTAGGTGGCACCAAAAACAAAAGAGCTTGTTACGCTAAAGGAAATAAAAGTGACCTACTACTAAGAATCTAACCACATCTGAAAATATTCAGCTGAGACGCCGATGCATCTCATTGTTCAGGCAGTAACAACATTGATCATCTATATGGGGGAAACAACCATATGGCCAAAACAGCATGCCTTAAGTCTTTAACCAGTGCATGCATGAAAGGTGGAAGCACATTAAATATACCAGCATAATATTTTATTTAAACAATTTTAGCACCAAGGATCGTTGCATGGGAATTTACTAATCACAGTCAGTTCCTCATGACACTTTATTCCAGAAACTTGTCTGTAAAACCCAACACATGACAAAGATGCAAGATCAGAATTGTTGGGAAGACGGAAGATATTGCAACTAATCCTACAAGCAATTTTGTCCAATGCAGAGCTTTATCCTAACATGTTTTGACATGCTTACACCTAACATACATTTAGCCAACATATTGACTTACAGGGCACCAAGATGCTTGTAACCGCACAAGACATAGATGTAAATGGACTATAGAACCATTAAAAAACTCACTAGATGTGACCGACACAAGTCGTCGAGGCTTGCATGTGTATCTATGTCATCCTGTGTACCATTGGGAGTTGCAGCAATAGTCTGAACAGAGGAAAAATAAAAATGAAATATTACCCAAATGTTGGATAGCTTAACACAGCAACCAGCAAACAAAAATGTCAATAAAATAAACCTCGTCAGGATATGTTGGAACATCAGGATCAACATCTATGTCATTTGGCATGTCTAGATCATCATCATCAAAATTAATGCCAGTATTTGATCCATTGTCATCTTTCAAATGTCCAAACACATTGGGATTTTCTTCTCCAAATTCAAATGATCTCAAAAACTGCATGTTGGATGGTTAACAAATTAAATAATTTATATTTAACCAAAAATATATAAATTAAATAAGTCCAATCAAAAGATTAGACATGCCTAATTTACATGGACACTGTAACAATGCTGAGTACCTTTTCAAAACGAGGGGGTGATTGGGAACCATAATGTTCCTCCTGCTGAGACTGCTGTGCTTTGAAAGATTTAGCATGTTCAGGTATGACGGCGCCATCCATCTTTGCCATAGGAAATAGAAATGTGAGAGTTTTCTTTTTCGAAGTTCCAATAACCCCCCGTGGAGAACCTTTCACTGCTCCAAAACAGATCAGTAAAGACAGTTCAATACATAGGTCATCAAAATAGCTTTACAAGTCACTAAACAAAAGAGAGGTATCCATGAACAACAGCTTCCTGTACCTCTCCTGTAAGGCCGAATCTTTAGGTTGCCAGGTTCATGTGGATTCAAAGGTTTCCATGGATCCTCATCATCAGAATAATCTCCAACAGGATCCTCTATATCATCTGGGTGAGGCATTTCAACATCATCAGCAAAGCTAGGTTGAACAGGATCAGACCAATGGTTGTCATCTGGACTGGTTTCTTGAGTTGAAGATTGGTCAGGATTCTCCTGTGGTTGGATCTAGACCTCCTAGGACTTTTCCAGCGGCCGATTTACGACCTGTGCCCGCTGATCTTAAATTTGGGGAAGTGAAAACATTGGCTCGGCTTTTAGAAGGTGCTGAACTGCCTTGATGAGCCACACTATTTTCTTTACCAGAATGTTTTCCTTGCAGAAAGTCAAAAACAGCTGGTGCATCACAAGGATCCAGCAGAAGGAAATCTCCATAAAAATCACATGTTGCTAACTGCAATACATAAATAACTATGACTATTTCAGTATGGAAGTAAAAAGTGGCCAATTTTGCAGTTGAAATAAAGGGGATAGAAAGTTTACCAAATATGTGTCTAGCTCACTCGCTTCGCTATCTAGATAGTCCCCTTCAAACACCAGTAGATTTGCTGGTGGCCTCACGATTTTTCTTTGTAAATCATCTCGATTGACATTGTTATCCAGAGATGTCCTTGTTTCCACTGGTAAATTTAAACAGGGTTAAACAAATGTTCTTAGCTCCATGACATCCAAAGTAAACTCATCCAGTGAAGCATCCACTTACCTGGGACATCATCTAACCCCATAAATATATCATCTTCTTCACTGGGAATCGTGCTAGGGTCGTTTTGATTAGCTTGAGCCGAGCCATTTTCCAGTTGATCCTGCCTGGTATAGTTATAATGCTTTAGACTATTGTAGCTAATAAGAAAAGATAAGCATGTGATAGTATTAGAGAAATCCTCAAAATATCATTTAAATGTTGAACACCCAAGGTATCACGCTGATCTAGACAATCATAAGAACCACCCTTGTACATACAATGACAACTTGATGAATCAGAATTCTTTTCTCCCAGCAGTACTATAAGCTGAGGGTTGTCAAGATGTTTATCAGACTATTGCAGCATTTTTCCCAGTACTTAAAGAGTGTTCCAAAATGTAGGATCGAAGTAATCAAGCGGTAAGGCAATATGGCATACCTGCCGGCTACGGACTACCTTGACACCTAGGCCACCTAAGGTGTACACGAGGCAATGTGCACCCTCCTCTCTAGAATGGAGGTGGAACAGGGTTCAAGGCAGTAAAGGAGGACATGCTTACAGTGATATTAAGAGTAGTAGCAGCAATGGTGAAACAAAGGAGGAGGCAATGGAGCCATTGGTATTGTGGAAGGGGCAAGGTTGGCTCAGATAAAAAAGAAAGTTAAAAGGACAGGATTTATAAGGCCCGCATAAAACACTGGCAATTTGGCTACAGGTGAACCATGATAGGTGTCATCGGCCTCACCTGTTTACCATTGCATCTTTGCTTCTCTCCATCTCATCTCTTTTCTCTCCTTCCATCCAAATGAGTCTTCAGCTCCAGAGGATGGCAATTGGCTATTTTGCAAGGAGGCCCAAATTACAATAACATAGATGTGTTCATCTCCTCCCCTCTCTCCATGCAACCATTAGGCAAAGCGTCAACTATGGAAGTTACTGCCGACCACCTTAATGCCAAAGTAACACCTAGGCAGGTGAATCTGGGCCAGATGACCATCAGGGTCTTGTCCGAAAATGGCATGGCCATTAGGAACTATTAGCTCTACATACAGTAATATTCCATTGGAATTTCCAAAATTCGTCGGGGTCGGCTGACCCGATGGCAAGTAATGTTCCATCGGGTTTTGATGTTAGTCTGTCTGGTTGCAAGTTCTGACTAGGAAAGTCTTAGTCGCTGAAGCAAGTCTGCCTTTTATGTTTTTTCTGCTATTTTCCTCTTGCGCTGGAGGTCAAGCACAGTCTGGTGTCTGAGTAGGTCCCTCTTGCGCTGGAGATTAAGCGGATCTCTGTGTTCTCTTTTTCTTCTTAAAACTCTCAAACACTTGTATTTCCGTTCTGTGAATGGAAATGGGGATGTCCTCGATTCGGAAAAAAAAAATAATATTCCATCGGAATTTCCAAACTTCGTTGGGGTCGGCTGACCCCGATGGCAAGCTGTAGCTCCACCCCTGCACCTAGGTGATGCCTTAGTACCATGATTAGATCACTATCTTCCAAAGTACAGAAAGGCCTTCGTTTAGTAATATGTTGGCATTGATCCCTTTGAGCAGAGAGTAAATCTAACCAAGTGAACATGGATTCGGGCCATCTACTTGAGCTTAATGCTTGGGAGCTACATATAGAGTTTAAGACAATAAAATGCCCGGCACGGTGGAGTACCAAGAGGAAGAATGAAAGGTGCCAATGCGGAGATCATCTAAAACAGGCATACTTCATCAAGGTTCCTATAAGGGGGATACAGATGCCTTATTTCGAAATTTTATGGTTTCCGAACCAAGCAGCAAATGTGTATCTGCCACGTGACATTTTTAAAGCCTACTCATTTAAGATGCGCAAAAATGTAGAATGCATTTGTCACTGTCAGTTTCAGGCCCACATTCGACAGGTAAATATTACATACAGTGTCCAGGGAAGCAATTAGTACATGACTTCTTTTGCGAGAGGAACTCTAACGCGTGAAGCACCAACAAGTACAAGTACTCCACCTTCTTACTGTACACTTGAACTGATCCTTGGAGTAATAACGCCGCTGCAGATAAGAAAACACAAATTAACAGGGCAACTGCTGACTTGAAAAAAGAAAAGAACTTTGTTATGATGCAACACCCATATCAAATTGTCCATAGAAAGGCTAAACCTTGGGTGAGCTAAACAACTAAAAAGAAGCTACTTCCTTTAACATTTATTCAAGCAAAGGAAATAACACCACGCAAAATCAAACAAGTCCACATGTTCCAGCCTCCATCCATAGTCAATCCACCCAAAGTGTCAAAATTTCTAACCTCACACTCCCAATTCCCAGCTCTCCAGACCCCTACAGATATCACACCCGCTGAAAAGAAGTGCCGCACGTTGACCACAAGAAACCCCAGCCCTCCGCACCACCGTACCTTCGGCAAAGTTGACAGAGTGGGGCCGTCCTCGCCGGAGACCTCCCCTGAGCAGATCTTGAGCAGGTACTCCTCAAGGCTCTTGGCAACGTCCACCTCCCAATTCGACTCGGGGTCCCTGTTCGCCTGCAGAATCGGGAATCTCCCGCCGGTCGAGCCCACCTCCCCGTCGCCGCCATCCATGCCTCCGTCCCAGGCTGCTAGGCACAAGAAAGCATCTTTTTGCGGGATTAGGGCTAGAGCTCGTCAATTTTGACGCCTAGGGCCACTATCAAACCATATATACTGTTTGCGCCGAATCAAGATATCACTCATACCAGGTCTAATACCGATAGATAACAAAAGTAGCTTATAAATACATAAGTTGAGATGAATATCTCAATTTCAAACTTAAATCCACAACATAATAGATGGAAAAATGAAAGTGGATAAAAAAATACTTAACTAATGATGGTTTGGTTTACCCTCGTCTCTCATAATCAATTAATCATTCAGTAATTCTTAGATCAGAAAGAGTTCAACATTAGCATAGAACTTAGATTCAAGAATTGAGAATGGCTGAATGGGATAAAATTACCAAGACTCAGAAGTCAGAACAGTCGACAGGAGAGCAGTCAGCAGACGAGAACCCCGCGGCCACGCGGCCACGCCTGCCGGGCGTGGGGCGCCAACTCCGAGTCGCCGGCCGGCGGTCGCCACTCGCGCTCGGCCATCTAGTGCAGGCTGCCGGCCGCGGCCAGGTACCGGGCGGCAGAAGCAGACGAACAGGGCGACGACTGGCAGGGACGCGGGGAGGAGCCGAGCCGGGGGCACGGCCACGGGTGGTAGAGGAGCAGAGGACCGTGGCGGCCGGCGGGAGGCAGCTAGGGTTAGCGCTCGGCGGTCGGCGCTCGTGACGGAGTTCGGAGAATGGAGAGGAAGCCTAACCGCGGGGAACGGCGCTCGGGACACGCGAGTCTAGGCAGGCTGCCGCGCTCTCTTCCTCAGTTCCTCTCTTCTCTTCCTCAGTTCCCGGTTTCAGAAGCTTCTGGAAATTGGGCGGGAGACGAGGGCGCGAGGAATCGGAGGTGTGAAGGGGAAGGGGAAGAAAGGGGCTAGCCGGCGGGTTAGGAGGGGGTTTGGGGAATTTTGGATTTCGGGGTTCTCCCGCTCCATGGATTTGGATTAGCGGATTCAGAGTTTTAGAGAGGGACCGTTGTGCAATTTGGAAGGAGTAGTAGGCCCTGAGGGTAGTAGATAGATCTCTAGATGAGTAAAGGTAAACGTTTGGTTTTCCTTTAACCTTTTGGCAGAAGCGATAGGGAATGCCTTAAATTTTCCTTCCTCCGCCATGGCCCTCTTATTGTGAAGTCCAGACAGTGGCCGTGCCACATGCGTTCAAGGCGCCAAGGCCCTCCTCTGCGAGAGAGGAAGTGATGATGAAAAAACACAACGAGCTTCCAAACTCTTCAAGATTATTCATGAATCTCATAATTTTGTTTTTGTTACGCTAGTGACATTTATTTGTTATTTCACATCTCAATACCGGTGGTAGCCATCGTCCTCGGGATGGGAAGAATAACACACTGTAGATGGGGAAACCTATACGGACGTTGAGGAACTTCGCGGAGGTCTTTTCTCGAATGAGATAAGACTTAGGTGGCGGAGATGGTTGAGGAATATATGAGCGATGGGAAGGACCTCGCGCCATCTCGTGCGAGGTGACACAACTAGTGGTGCTGCGATGGCAAATGTTACTTTATTTACATTGAAATGTTCGAAAGACACAAGCGCGAAGCGAATCGGTCCTGGCGCGTGCACTTTCCTTTTCAAGCTTCGATCTCATTTTGGTTTCTGTAAAAGCGAGGCCACAGAATGGGAATCCTAAGGATTTATTCCTTTGTTTCTCCAGTGAACCAAAGGGCTCCATAGGAATAAAACCATAGGAATCTCAATCCTCCAAAATTCCTTTGCCATTCCTTCAAACCAAAGGGGGCCTTAGCGGATTCAGAGTTTTAGAGAGGGACCGTTGTGCAATTTGGAAGGAGTAGTAGGCCCTGAGGGTAGTAGATAGATCTCTAGATGAGTAAAAGGAAGACGTGCTACTTGCAAACCATAGCTACGATCATAGAACAAGCCTATAGTTGATAAAGGTATTTTTCTTCAATGAGGAATATGTAGAGCAGACACACTAGTGGTGCAGTGGCAAAGGGTTCGAACCCTGGTCCTTGCACCTTATTCGAGGGGATTTCCTCCCTTGATGACTCAAAAAAAGGAAGACGGTGCATTAGCATTGCTTGTCAAATCTACATTCTCAAAAAGTTAATCATTGTTGGATGGAACTCTTATCATATTTCAAATGTCTGAAAATGGCATATTTTCATCAAACTCGAGGATTGTTTGTAGTATTGTCTGCACGTTGTCAAGCCTAGAAGGCAAAAAGGACATGTCATGGGAGACCAAGGACACGCAAGGTGAGAAGACTCGAACACTGGGGTGACCATGGATATCAAGAGAAATAATTGATTAGGAAGGCTCAGTGAAGGTAGTGCACCATGATCCATGACACTTAGGGTTATTGTGATAGGTGTGATGGTAGGCATATGGATTTGATGGCAAAGACATGGTGTCGAGGGAGGGAGCTTTTATTATATTTCAACCGTCTAAAAATAGCGTATTTTCATCAAACTCAAGGATTATTTGTAGTGGTGTCTGCACATTGCCAAACCTAGAAGGCAAAAAAAGACATGACACGCGAGACGAAGGATACACAAGGTGAGAAGACTCGAACACTGGTAACCACGGATATCGAGAGGAACAATTGATTAGGAAGGCCCAGTGAAGGTAGCGCACCATGATCCATGACGCTTAGGGTTATTATGATAGGTGTGATGGTAGGCATATGGATTCGATGGCAAAGACACGGTGATGAGTGGTGGATGACTAGGGAGACAAACAAGAGCATTTGTGTAGAAAAGAAGAAAAAATAAAATAAGATCTGGACTTCTTGGTCATATGGTGACAAATCAGTCAATAGGGATTGATGATGTTTTCAAGCAACCGTATCATAGCATCACCCATACCACTCATGCATGTTCTCTTTTATTCTTGTCTAACATGGACATGGCATGCGTGTTTCTATTTTTCGTTACAAGCGTTGAGTTTCAATTTCTTTTAGGGACATTAGTAAAATGCATTAATTATATGCCTACTAAAAGATCTGGTCACTATATTTGCTTGTTCGCAAAATGCTCTAATGAAGAGGTGGTAGATTAGTTGGTTATGTTCCATATGATCAAAAGTGTTTATCTTCATCAATCCCATGATATCTTTGTCTAGTTTCTCTGAGGTCCGGAGCTCGGGATACACAACCATACCTCCTATCCAACAAGCTAAAGTAGTCCCATCTTTCTTATAGTTTTGGTTTTATCGGGGATCTAATACCAGGGTACCCCAGAAGGTGGAACCAATAACCATCGAACGTTAAAAACTTCTGGACGGACAAGGGCGCCGCTGTGTTCCTTGCCCGAATGGTGAAAGTTAGGTTTCGTCTCGCCCGACGCCTTTGGGCTAGCCCCGCCTCGCCCGAGGGCAAAGGGCTGGCCTCCGTCTCGCCAAACGCCTTTGGGCCAGCCCCGCCTCGCCCGAGGGCAAAGGGCTGGCCTCTGTTCCACCCGACGCCTTCGGGACAGCTCTGCCTCACCCGAGGGCTGAAGGCTAGTCTCCGCCTTGCCCGAGGGTTGAGGGATACACTCCGCCTCGCTCGACCCCCGAGGGGTGGGCTCGGTCACGCCCAAGGGATAAGGATTGGGCTCCGCCTTTCCCGACGACCGAGGATGAACCTCGCCCCGTTCGATGTCCAGAGACTAGTTTCATCTTACCTGATAACTTCTCTCCCGTTCCCCCATGATGATGGGTACAGGGCAAGACAAGACGTTCGGGTCAACCACGGCCTCAAGGACCATACCCTGCGCCCCGGCAGGAAAGGTACTGCCAGGGAACGACTGGACAGGTGCTTTAGACTCTCCCGGGCGCCGTAGAGCCCAAAAGGTATTGCAGGCGCGTACTCCTCGCCCTGTAGAGTTGTAGGCGTCGCCTTCAGCTCTAGGACACGGAACCCGACGAAGATACACGACAACCACTACACTCCAGAAAAGGATTTGTGATCTCCATGAATGACGTACATGCCGTCACCGCATTATGGACCCAAGGGAGCGGCGCCCGCTTCCCGACCCCTCGGGTCCACCAAATCAAAGAACCTTGCCCACAGCGCTACTCCGGACCTCGACTCCGTGTCCCTCCGACAGAGACTCATAGGAGCGGAGGCGTGCGCAAGGGCAAGGTGGGTGAGGTTCATAAGTCAAAACCACTATACTACAGCACCATACCTGCGCAGGGCACTATTCTTTAACCATCCTGACATTCTACAGAAGCATCGACAGTATTGTAGGCGCTTATCATCCTTTCGCACCCATCAGAATGGGTAATGAGGCTGGGTAGAAGTGAGCCATAAGGCTAGGAAGAGCACGCATCCTGAGCCCTGACCCTTGTAAAGCCGTCCCCTTCATCTATAAAAGGGGATGCATTTCCTCCAGCATGAGAGGGATCGAAACAACGCAACACGCACACATAGTCAAGCTGCTACCAAGCTCTTGGCTTCCTTTTGACCCTTCCATCAGAGACTTGGGACCTGTCCCTCTCTCGATCGTTTGTATCCCCTACTACAAACCATTCACGGTGCTAATAACACGAGCAACAACAAACTGGACGTAGAGATATTCAGCCTGAACCAGTATAAATCTTGTGTCCTTTAGCGCACCATCCGATCCTAACGCGTATTACTATAAATTTACTTGCCGGTGCTTGTACAAAACACCGACAATTGGCGCACCGGTAGGGGGCTTACGCGTTCCAAATCAGGCCTCGGATGGCCACCCACGCAATCAGCTGGGCCCCGGGCGCACATGTGCATTTCGGCGACCTAGATTTCATCGTCACACTAGGAGGAGAACTGGCGCTGACCCACACGGCCGCACAACCTCTCCCTTCCATCAACCTCAGCCGTCTGAGGCTTGAGGACACGCGGGGTGACTCCCTTGGACCCCAGTTATCTAGGGAGCCCCCGCACAGCATCACCCTGTTTCCGGAAGGCCTCGTACAAAGCGCCCTGACAATGTTTCCATTCGATCTCTGCAACGTCGCGG